GAGGTCTAACCAGACCCCGGGCGTTCGGATCTTCCATGACGTGGGCACACTTGTTCCTGCCGACCCTGTGCATAAACTTGTGGCGATCATACTGTGGCAGACTCGTCAAAGGCCAACTTCCGAGATACTTAAAAGGTTGAAGGGTTGGGGCACTACTGATACAGTAATGCCCGTCCGCATCTCCTTATGCATGAGCGATGTATGTCTTTACCTGCATATGTGTACCTGCCATATATGTCTGTGTGTGTATATATATATATATCTGTGTGTGTGTATGCGTATATGTAGATGTATATGTATAGGTATATGTGTATGTATGTGTGTATGGTTGTGCATTGCCGGCAAAAGGCACATGATTTGATGCCCTCAGCACTTAGTTAGGCCTGCACGGCCCAGGAATCGAATCTGAGATTCGTTTTAGTCTCTTTCTGCTTTACTGCAGACCCTCAATTGCGTAATGTGCCTGGAGCGCAGTACAAGTTCATTCCAAATCCTTACAATGGGTCCGCATCATTGCAGAAAAAGGCGCGACCGCCTCCTTCAAGACCTTAGTGGAGACGGCTACCGTCCTGCCCCTGCCGCAAAATCAACTCTCTGTGGCTTGGGTTCCTACCAAAGCTTTCTTGAGCTCTTTTCAGCTTGCAAGAACTTCGACTCTTTAGTACCGAGCTTCTGAACTGGCAGCATATTTCGACACAAATCGACTGATTAACCACTCTGGCTCCAGTCTGCAAGTGCTTATCCGTTCCCGGGTTCATTGCTTGCTGCTTCCTCGTTTGGGTGACAAAAGCAGCCTGCATGCCAGCACTGCGCATTCACTGGTGGGATGCGCCGGGGCGTGCTGGCGAGCCTACAAGGCTCGCACTCACCCTGAAGGGCGTACCTTTCGAAGATGTGCGGTACAGCTTCGGCGACAAGGAGAGCACCTTGATAGTATAGTGTACTGAGCGGTATTTTAGCTTGGAGTCCCTGGCATCGTTTTTGCGGCAAGGACTTCAACTTGTACCTTAATTTAAAGGAAGCTCTTTGGTTCGAGCTGTCATGTTCGGCATTTGCCCGTCTCCTGAATGTGTCCTTCAAGGCCATGGCTCTTGATATCCCTCAAAACCCAACAATCCGAGGCATAGAGGCCGTGCGAGCAAAATCGCCTTTTCAGCAGTTTCCCATCCTGGAGGTGGATGGGGAGGCAGGAGGCCGTGATGCAGTCGAAGTCGCAGACCAGTTGCCCTGAAGCCCGTTTCCCTAATTCCGACTTTTCATTGTGGGTTCTTTGGGAGCTTCCAGGTGGCAAGGAGGCAGCCCCACATCAGAAGGGCTCGACTATGAAATGAAAGGCCACGGAATCGAAGAAGCCAAAGCAGGTGGTGGTGCAGTCGAACACCATCCTGAGATACGTCGGTCGCCTCACCGGCTTGCTGCCGGAGTCCCCTCTGGCTAATGCAAAGCTGGAGGCCATCATGGACTTCATGGTAGCCCGGCTTACTGCGGATATTCCGTTTTTGCCACGTGTTTTGGAGCATCTCGCAACCACGGACAACAGAAGACCCCTAAACTTCAAAGCCCGAAGCCCAACGTCCCAAAGGACAGACACCAAGGACTTCCAACCCCTTAGCGCAACAACCAGCATCCTCCTGCCCCAACGCCCCAGGCCATGGATGTGGAGCCTTTGGCTTTGTGTAGCCATCTCCAGGCGCCACAGATGGGGCTCCGGCTGGGTTTATGCCGCTTTTGGCCCTCTTGCAACGCCTGGTAGCAACAAGATGGAACCTTCCCCAGCTCACCTGATACTCCCGAATACCCGAAACCGTGCATACAAGTCATGTTACTGGATGTGGGGCTCGACAGCACGGCATTTGAATTGGGGTTGTCAGGTGTGCGCTAAGGTTTCGATTCCTAAACCCCCAAGGCCATAAACCCTTGCGCGAGGGCAACAATTTTCCATGTACTTCAGGGCGGAACGAAGCCCGATTCCTCAGCTGTTGAGCCGTGGGATCAAGTTTTAGCCTCTAACACTTAACCCCATGCCCCCCTCAGTTCAATTAGTCTAGGGGCCGTTATGTTTAGAACAGCAAACTTACATGGTGACTACTAAGAGGGATACGACCGCCAAGTATCCGTGGGTCTCTAGTATAAGTATTTAAGGTCTATGGGGTTGTACACTTACTCCCCGCAGGTCCAAAACCCCAAAAGCAGCTGCCTAAGTCCTTCTGTTCCGAGCCTCAGCATTCGCGAGTGGATGCCTTGACCCCAACAACACACCAGAAACCCAAAACTCCACGGGGCCTAGACCTGGTACAGGGTTTCGAGCAAGGGCTTAAACTCCTAGTCTAAGGCTAACAATAGCTAGAGTAGCAATGAATTCCCTGGCGGCCTAAACTTTTGACCTAAACCTAAACCCCTGCAACCGCTCTCTGAACCCCAAGGCTCTCCCGAAAAAACCAAAAAAGCCCTTTGAAACTCCCTAAATGCAGTCTAGACCCGAAACCCGAAACCCCCTAAATCCCCTAAATTCTTGGAATCCCCTAAACTTTAGACCCTCTAGCCCGAAGAGCCCGAAATGGTGAGAATGGAATCGGAAGCTCCTCTCACCAGGGCGAGGAAAAGACGGCCGCTCGGGTAGCCGCCGCCGCTGAAGGTGCGGGCGTGTTTAGGGTTTCAGGGTCTGGGGGTTTTGGGGTTCGGACTTAAGGGGTTTAGGCTTTAGGGTTTTTGGCTTTAGGGGGTTTTGGGCAGCGAACCCAACTTACTCCTTAGTTCAGGAAATATGCCCTAGTCATGGCCAGAAGAGCCCAACACGTGGCAGGGTTTCCTTGCGGAAGGAATATACAGTAAATCATGCCAGTAGGCACTATGTATGCACTTTAAGGCACATTGCTTTGGTAAAGGTATTCGGCTTTCTTGGCCGTTGGGTTTATGGGAGCTTCTTGGATGAGGACTTCGAGGGCACCGTGGAGTGCACAGTCTAGCCGCAAAGTTCATGGTTTGGTGGTTTAAGGAATTGCAAATACCAACATGATATGCACCTTCAATGCAAAAAATTGTATCCACGACCTTGGTGCCTAAACCATTTGGCTTTGGGATTAGTCCATCCCGAACGCAACAAATGAAGATGCCTGCCCTGGGCCTGAAAAGCGGTGCAGACCCCAACAGGCTCAAATCGACACATCATGCCCTGTAAAGGTTTGGCATGAGCTCCATAAGCCCTACAGTTAGTCTTAGACCTTTAAGCCCCAAGCCCTGAACTTCGACAAGAGGCCAAAGAGGCCTGTTCAAGAGCAGGTAGTGCTTTTCGAAAGCGTCTCTCCCAGCTGGACGCTGCCATCGCCCCGCTCGTCAGCCAGGAGACCATCGAACGATTTGGGGTTTAGGAATTAGGGCCATTAGGGTTTCTTTGAGGATCGCAGGACTTCCGGCTGGGTTTCGGGCTGATCGGTTCTGCCAGCATCGACCCCTCACTTTCGTGGATAGAGTGGGGGAGTGGGGGACTTCAAGCGGCTCGAGCGGCTCGGGGGCTTAAGTGAACTGAGCAAAGTTAAACGAGACACTACCCAAAGATTCAAAATCCCCCTGAAACCCCTAAACCCCTAAACCTTAAACCCGCAAAGCCGCCATTAAACCACGAACCCCTAGGCCCGAACCCCCAAACCCCCAGAGGGGAGGATCCCAATGCTCGCTTTCAGGAGCTTGACATGGCACAGCTGAAGGTCTTTTGTGAGACCAGCGCCTTTATCTCGGGCTCCTGGGCTCTGATGTTAACATAGGAGGCTTTCTATAAGAGTTCCTTTGGGGGTGCTCTAGGGGTTTAGTATGGGGTGCCTTAGTAATTTGAAGAAGGTTTCTAGAAGGGTTTAGGGTTTAGGCCTAGTATAAGTTTAGTAAAGGGGCCTTAGTGATTGGAACAGGGCTTCGGGGTTTTTGCGATAGTGGAGGGATACCAGGGAACCTTAAGGAGTGGTTTTGAATAGTTATTCAGGCCCGCTGCTGGGTGCAATGAATGGAGCTTCTATGAAGTTGCCAAAAGAAAGAGGTCCGAACGTAAGGTTCAATTTCGTTTATAGTAACTCACATCATGTTGCAGCTAAAGTTCCTCAAACAGTCAGCCAGGATTCTATGATGGCTTCCCTGCAGATGAGTCGCTCTTCGCGGGATGCGACAACATCAAGGTCTCCGGGAAATCTTTTTTTGCCTAGCGGGACTGCAACCATAAACCCGGCTTATGCTGTTTAGAATACCCTTAAACCCTAAAGCCTAAACCCTAAACCCTAAGAAGGCATTGAGGAAGAAGATCTCCAACATGGATGCGGTCAAGAGCTACTACGCAGGCCGAGACGGCTTCTACGCCGCCTTCGCCCCATCAGGCTAAGTTAGCGGCCGGAAGAAGTAGCAATGGTATTCTCTTGTAGTCCCTAGTATCAGTATACTACACTATACCCCTAGAACCCGAAACTCCTCAAACCCTGCACTCCTAAACCCCTAAAACCCCCAAACCGTAGGATCAGCCGGCTGAGATTCGCCAGAAAAGCGGCCTGCAGTCCGTCCGCATGGTGTTTGGGGCTGAGCGTCTCTCGGGTTTAGCATAGAGTGTTTAGGTTGGATACCGCCCCCACTCTGTAAGAGTTGAGTAATATTCATCATAATATGGATTTTTTTTAAGGCCCTTAATAGTAGCCGTATTAAAACGGACTGTTACAATATGGGGGCCAGCACCCAGAGTTTAGGGTTTTAGGGCCAGAAGAGGTGATGAAGTAGCAAGCGTAACATCCATTGGTAGTGCCGTTTTTACTGATAGCAGAACTTTCCCCAAACCTTTTTATAGGAGTTTTTGACTCAGACACGTATGCTTTTAGAGTTTGGGGTTTAGGAGCGAGGGGCCCTGGAAACTCGAGCCTTAAATCTCTGAAACCCAAAGCCTCGAGACGTCCTTCAACCACAACTACGCAACACTATCTAAAGCCTCATCCGCCTTCGAGAACGGCGACGAAGCAGCAAGTAAGTTTGCAGGATGTTAGTCGCCTCGACAAGCATCAAGTTTTAGGGTGTAGGATCTAGGGTCTAGGGTTTGGAAAAAAGACACAGGGAAGAAGCGCTGAATCCGATAATACCCGAGGCCCCCAATCCTAAAGCACCAAACCCCTGAACCCCAGAAGCCGAACACGAGATCCAACACCTTAAACTCCCGAAGCGCCCAAAAACCCTAAACTGGAAGACCCACAAGACTCGAAAACCCTAACACCCTGTAGACCCCTTAAAACCCTAAACCTTAGACCCTAAAACCCTAAACCCCTACTTAAACCCTGTAAACCCTAAACCCCTAAACCTCCAAACCAAAAAGCACCCGTGGCCTGTTGGCCTCTCGGCCCAAGCTTTCCACATGGTATGGGAAGTTTAGCTCGGTGACCTGGCAGATACCCTAAGGGACCGAAGGCCCCGACGCTTCTAGGTACTTGGGCTTTGGGGTGGTGGTAATGTGGGTATCACCATTCCCCTCAAAACCCTAAACCCTGTGGAGCCGGGTTTGTAGAAGAGGGCCGCAGGGCTTAAGGGTTTGGGTTATGCAAGGCCTTGTGATTATGGGCGCTTCCAGGATGTCTATCGGTTTGTTAGTTTAGGTGTCTTTGGATTTTTGAGGTTTTAGGCTTTGTCGAGTTTGAGCTGGATGCGGTGGCTCTTTTGGGCGGTTGGGCCGTTGAGGTTTAGAGATGAATTGCTTAGGCAAGGCATCTCCGTCATAGAGTCGATGACTTTCCTCTTGAAGGTGTTTTACTCTTACAGGTTTATGCGGGAAAGTCCATGGTCCCGTGGTATTCTGCAGCAGTTTCTGTGGTTGCAACTTACTTGTAAGATATTTGAACTAGGGCAGAGAATAAATATATGCATATATATATATACATGTATGTGTGTATATATATATGCTATAATAATGTGTGTGTATATATAGATATATAGCACATGTGTGTATATATATATATGTATACACACATTTACACATACATACATACATACATACATACATACATACATACATAATGTAAGTAAGTATGTACGTATGTATATACATAGAGAGATAGAGGCTTAGTCAAAGGTCATGGAGCTTGCGTAAGACCGAGTACGTGAGGTTGAGTTCTGAGGTTTCGCGCCCAGAAAAGACGTTCTTGGTTTCAACTTTAATCCCCACTCCCCCTGCGAATTACAGCAATCACAGTGAAAGCTCCAGTTACCCAAGCATCCAACTGAACCCCAAACCCCACGGCCCGCATTTTACCCGAGGTCGTTGCGCCGCCCCTGTGCTTTTCGCTTCGCTGCTGTTCCAATCGTTTCTACGACCGCATTCCTTTGTGCAACGGCGGGCCAGTCCAGGCGTTGCATTTGGGATTCAGGTTTGTTTTTGCAGCCGCTTTCGCTGTCGAATCTAGTATAGGCTCACATACAACGGTGCAGTCGAGCTCAGACTCAGTTAAACACATGGACATCAAGCATTGAAACTTCTGGGGATAACGGCGCAGCTTTAGTTGCTTTCTTTATTGGTTCCCACCATGGACAACCCGACACCCGCTCATGTGTGTCCCTCCAGTTGGGCAGGCGTTTCCGCCTTTGCTGCTTCCCCCGTGCCATGGGATCGACTGGCGTCGGATCCTGTTTCGACGGCGCAGCAGGCTGTTTGTATTGAAGGGGATCACTTCTGCCACAAATGCAGCAGCGGTTGTGGAGGAGGTGGTGATGGTGGTCGTCGTCGTCGTCGTGGTAGCAACAATGCTTGTGGTAGTGGTAATAGCGGCAGTGGCAGCCGCAGTCGTATAAGACTAAGAACAGTGCTGCGAGTGTTAGAGGCAGCGTTTGCCAAGGTTGGGGTTCTTGTCGTCTTAGTTGTGTGGGTGCGACTCTTGGATCGTATGGGAGGGAGCGGAGGAGCAGAGGGAGGGGATGAGGCCGGGGGGAGAGCGGGTTGATTTTTTGCCATCATCGAATGGGAAGTGCACAGGACGAGCAGCAGAGGGGATAGTGCGACTGGAGGAGAGCAGCAGTGCGTCCGAGATTTCTGTGCAGCAAGCTTCTGCCATGTTCCAAGCTCGGCTAAGCCTAACGAAGCTTCATGGTTGAAGCTATAAGTTTTCGCCCTGTAACCCTAAACCCTAAACCCTAATAAACCCTAAACCCTAATTCATAACGAGTTCGGGGTTTCTCCAGAAGCCCTTAAGGCTCCGTTCCCAAATCCTGGCCCGAAGCTGGAAAGCTTCGGCTCCGGGATTCCTCCTCGGGGCTCTCCCTCGGCTTCGGAATTCCTCGGCCTTCTCTTCTTAGGGTTTAGGGCTTTAGGGGTTTAGGGTTCTCTTCTACTGTAAGCATCCCAGGGGACTTTCAGACATTGTTAGGGATCCAAGGGAGGCTGCAGTGTCTATCGTAACCTGGGGCCCGGAAATCCCGCCGCATGCCCTAGCAATGCATGGTGGGGCCGAGAGATCTTATTGCGTCTTCTGGGGCTCTGTACCCTCGCCGTTAAACTTCTGCATTTCATACCCGTCCCGTCCTGCCAGTCTTACCATACGTGAGCACCGTCTTGGCCGGCGTCCGTTGAAGTGGGAACGGTTCGCGACGTGTTACGGGATACAGGTCTCACCAGCTCTTTGTCAACAGTATGTTCTTAGGGACCCTAAGCGGGGTGAGATTATGAGGGTGGTGCTGCACATGTCAGAGCCCCCATCTGCCATTTCAGGAGCATCTTGTTTCTAAATCCCTTCGAACCCCGAACTGCAGAACCCCGCAGGAAAAGTCAGATTTCTTGCTGCTCCAGGTGGGGAGCAAGACACCCGCATGATCGGTACAGCGACCCGGCTTCTCAAGACAGTCTCGGCTTTGAGGTCTAGGGTGGATGTAGGATTCAAGTTTAGTGTGCTATGAATTAAATAGCACAGCTGGATGATGGAATGATCTCATTGGCGACTACCGATGTCCTTTCTGTGTTGCAGAAGCGTGGAGGATTCCAAAAACCTGCTGAGAGGAGGGGTAGGAGCCTGGCTAACGTAGGGGCCTTAATAGTTAAACAGGGCTTGGGTTTTGGGCTACAGCGGACATGCGTCAGATGCGAACGAGGCTCAGATGCCTTGTGCATCCAGAAAATGTCTATACAATCTTATCAAATCGTTTAGAATAGAATTTTGGGGTATATTATACTATAACTGAAGAATAGGATCCCCAAAAATTTGTTAGGTAATTATTAAGGCCCCTATATTAGCTCGAATCTACTAGAGCTCCCAGCTGCCAGCTACTGTGCCATGAATGACACTTCAACGACTACAATACAAACGGTAGCTGATCCAAAGTCTCAACCTTGGTGGGGCCCTTAAAGGGTTCCGATAAAGGCTTCTTTCCTTCAGGAGCCCGTATATGAACCTTCAGGCTTCCGACAAGGGTTCCTTTAAGGGTTCTGAGTTTACGGCTTAGGGATTTATACTTAGGGTTCAGGGCCTTGTGAATGTGGCCGGGCTGTCCTGGACCCCATGAGCCCGAAAGTCTTAACCCGGACTCAGGGTTCAAAGCATGTTCTTTTCTGTGAGCCGGGCTCAACCTCAAAGAAGGTGCCCAAAAGCCCCTTACCTTGGCAGACCTTCGAAGATTTTTTCGACATCTCCCCGCAGCGAGCCCAAAGCCCTGAACGAAGGAAGCACCTGAAATCATAGAGGGCCTATTTTTGGGCCTCGCCCGTAGTGCCTAAACTCTAGTTCCTGAACCCTATACACAAAATACACAAATCCCTAATCGCCAAACCTTAGGTTAAGCCGGTGGTATGGGGCTCTCGTCTGAGGTGGAAGGGCGCTACTCCCTTGATGAGATGGCAGGTGCGGCGTGGCTCTTTGGGTTTTTTAAAGGCCGCTTTGAAGGTTCTTTCAACGTAAAAATCGGGGGCGGGGGTTTGGGGTTTCGGGCTTCTGTGTCAAACCCCAAAACCCCTCAACCCCCCGAAGCCTACCGAAACTCCGCGAACCGCCGAGGGTTGCAAAACAGGCCGGGGGGTCTTTTCAAAGCTCCCGGCGCCTCCAAGCTCACAAAGAGCAGTTTTTTTTGTTACGTGGGAATGTAAAGAGCTGGGATACTCCTGATCAGCTGTTCATGTAGGAAGAGCAGCTGTTCTTTTTAGGTTGGTCCTTTCTCGCAGTAGTTCGCTATGGCAGGCCCCCTTCCCATCATGTGCCCGCACATCTCCCTGGGAGGCACATACAAGTTCGACAAGGCCACCTGCATGCTGAGTGCGAAAGATGCATCCTGGCCGTTCGGATATTCCTTCTGAGTGTTGGGCTTAGGGCTCGGGTTTGGAATTTTGGGGATTTGTGCTTGGCTCTCGTCCTAGCCGCAGTCGTCGTCATGTCCATTTCCACCTTGCCACTGCTGCCTAAAGTGATCTTGGCTGCCTTCAACTATTGTCTTCTGATGGCACGCCCGAGGATGAATCGGCCGAGTGCATCAACATCGGCCCATTTTTCTTTGCACCCATCCAGACCACTCCCCTTCCCGAGCCCGAGAGACGCTCCGCTGCACAGAACTCCAACCATTCAAAGGGCACATGTAGGGTGTAAGTAGTGTGTAAGCCTCGCCCGTTTTGGGGGGCCGCGTGTAGTGATGGCCGTTAGTTGCAAAGCACTCGCTTGCGACGCTCTCAGGGTGTCGAGTTTTGCTTTCGGTGTAAGCATTTCTTCGACCACTATGCTGCCAGTGATGCAAGGCTTCGACAAGCTCCGCCTGCTGTGCGAAAGAGCCCGGGGCGAGTGACTCGGCTTCAGTCTTAAGCCGAAGCTAGAACCCCTTTTTTGGGGGACACTGTTTTTGTGTGCCAGAAGGCCTGAGCCTACGGTTCAGGGCCCATGACGGTAGATCCAGGATGGAGGGCGAGTTCATTTGCAACTCGGAGATCATGGCAGAGACTCTTGGACGCAAGCAAAGCTTTGGGCGAGGTAGCCTCTCTTGGAGGAAGGCCTGCCACACGACACCCTACATACCCGAATTTAGCACCAGCCCAATGTCACGATGACTTCCGTGCAACTCGGAGGATCCAGAGGGAAACGAACGACGGGGCCCTGTTCGTGCTGCCTTCTCAACTGAATGGCGCCGAGTACCCGTCACACAATAGCGTGACTCCGCAGCAGCCAGGCCATGGTAGGTGGTAGGGCTTTAGTTTGTGTGGTGCAAGATGCTGATCAACAATGACGGGTGGTGAACACGATGATGATGGTGTTGATGCTGATGATGGCGATAGTGGTGATGATGCAGATGATTCTGCAGATGGTGGTGAGATTTATGATGACTATGAAGTCATGAAGTCATTGACGATGATGATTATGAGGATGCGGATGACAAGGAGGATGCGAATGAGGATGTCGAATGGATGGCGAGTATAGTGAGCTGACGACAATGACGTTGAAAATCGTCACAAGCCATGACGATGCGGCGGTGCAGGCAGTGGCGGGGGTCGTGGTGGCAGTGGTGGCAGTGGCTGTGGCGGCGGTGGTGGTGATGATGATAGTGGCTGAGAGGAAGGTGAGTTGGCGGAGGAGGAGATGCCAGACCGACGGGAAGCAGGCGGCTAATTTGCTAAATGTCGCCATTGCCAAGAGCGGCCGAACAGAACTCTACACAAAGCCGATGGAAGCATTGTCTCGCCAGCTTCAGTTAGTTGCCTTGCAGGTAGTAAAGCACGTCGAGGAGTACATGCAACTTTCCTGCATACTGCCGTGTCTCAGTCAGCCCAGCTGAGCTTCGGATGCGGCTGATCCACTTGCCCTACACCGCTCCAGAACACAAGACTCGGAACCCCACATGAGGCCGACAGAACTGTGACAGTTATTTCTCAAGCGGCGACAGTGGAACCCTCTGCGCAAGAGCCCTAACGCCTACACCCGACGACCAAGGTACGACAATACCGGTGGTCCCCGAGGCCCCTTCTTTTGGCTTCTTTTGAGCTTCTTTTCATGCGTCTACCTTATGTTACCGTCAGAGTATGAAATATGAAATATGCGCAGCAACTTATTTGATATACTTTCCATGGTAGGCTTACATTCGGCCCCTTGTGAAGTTCCGGAGGTTTTGGCTTTAAGGTTTGGTATCGTCTAGATCATCATGCCGAAATTTGAAGACCTTAGCCTACGTTCCGAAATTCGAGAAGCATGAAGTGTTCAGGGTTCTTATGGGAAGTCAACCTCGGCCAACCCCAATCCCCAATTTCTTTGCATCCTGTCAGGACAGCTAGCGGCCCACCCCGCCGCAGCGCAGCTGCTTTCTTCGAGATACAGCTTGCACAGTACGTACCCATCTGGGTAGTTCTCTAAATTAGGGTCCCTCTGTAGGGTGCCGTACTATGTTGGGGACCCACAAAACGGGACCCTAACTTAGAGAACTACCCATCTGCATGCAGGTTCAACACATTAGCTGTGAAGCATTCAGGGCGTAATGTACCTTCTCTGCAGTTCAAACCCTTCATATGCTTTGGGGTTTAGGGCTTATATTGTTCATAGACTTGTTTGCTCCATATCTTTGGATTTCGGAGCCGTAATTGAGGATGTGATAGCTCTCAGGGCCTAGGCCTACAGGTGCAAAATCTCTCGAAGTTAGGGCACCCATACCCGGTATGGTTTAGGGTTTGGGGCTTGGGCTACCATAGCAGGTGTTGCCCGGACCCATGACGGAGATCGCAAAAATCCTTGCAAGTGCTACAATAAATGGACGTCGTTTTCGGCCATTTCGCTAACTGACGCGAGTTTGGGAGTTCGGGGCTTTGTACAAGGGCTTTGAGTTTTGCGGCTTTTGTTTCAGGATTTGGGCTCAGGTAGGGGTTTGGAGCGTTGCGTTGCGGGTTTTGTTTCGGGCCTGTGCCGACATTTTGCGGCAAAAGGCCTTGCTGCGAGGCGCAGCGTAATTAAGCTTGTCCTTTGATTCTTCAGCTTGTGGACTTCTTCTTTGCAAGACCGGCTTAGGGTTTCGGATTTGGATGAATTGGGCGGTATGGAGTATAGGGTTATGAGGTGTAGGATTTGGGGCTTGGGGGTTAGGGGCCAGCGGTTTTTTCGAGACCCGCTTGACGGTGCAAGGTTTGTGCTAGACAATGCAGCGCACGAGAAGCGGAAGGACGGCATCAATGCTGTCGACGCGCCTCGGCTGAACCATTGTAGAACCCTTACCTTAGAGGCCGGAATAGTTGCCAAAATCATTTCTGGGGTTGCCTGTTATAGTTATTGCATTTATACTTACTATTTTTTCGCAAAACCCCGTTTTTATCATTAGGGCCCCTATGTTATGCAGAACTCTTATTCTAGAAACCCTCCATTGTAGAAGTCTTATGGAGCCTGAGCCTTGAGCTTTTCGCAAACGGGGGCTGGATCATTGGAATAGGCTATTCGGGACGGATAGATTACAGCATAGCTATACTATACGGGAGTAGTACTACTGGTCATTCAGACCCCTAGATCTCCTCACAGATCGGGCTAGGGGGTATTTTGCACTGTCCCGCTGACACTGGGCGTCTGAATGCCAGTGCTGGCTAGTGTATGTATGCAGTATGCTGCACCACAAAAAGGCTATCCGGATGAATGGATCCATGCGGTAAATCCGCGAAAAGGCACTGTCCACAGTGAGCATGTATTGCTGTGTTTCGATCGTAGATCTCAGAGGATGTGAAATGTTGCATGAGTCGTATGTAAGTGCTTGGACGTTTCGGTGGGGCCGAAGAGAGATGCTTTGCAAGTGACGTTTCGAAACAGCGCTACACGAGCTTAGCAGAGAGACTGTCCGAGCCTCCTCCTCGTCCACGGTGCTTCGTCGTAAAGGATCCCTTTAATGGTGCAGTTTGTCCCTGTAAAAGAGCCCCCCCCAAGCCACCCCGAAACAGCCCCTGAGGGGCCCGGAACCCCAAACTCCAAACCCTAAACCCAGAACCCGAATCCGGTTCCCTCAAACGTGAAAGCTCAGGAGCTGGAGAAAACTCCAGGCTGCGGCGTTCGGCTGCACAACGGCTACTTAGAGGTGCGGGTTGAGGGTTTAGGGCTTATGGCTTCGTTTCTAGCTTGTTCCGGCTATATGAGGGCTTAGAGTCCCAATTGCAAGAAACAACGAATGCCTAAGTGACATGGGCTGTTCGGGATATGTTCCCTGCCTTCTAGAACTGTGGTTGCCAAACACGACCAAAGGTACGGAGTGCTTGCATCCAAATTTGCGGTCTTCAGCTCAGGATATTTGGATTCCTTCTGCCTCCTTGACTGGGAAGGTGTACAAAACTCGACCGGCTGAGCCGCACAAGATCCAAAAGCAAAAGCAAAAGTCCTACGCCCTTGACCCGGAGTCTCCAATCCATTCAGTCGTCTGAAACCTTGGTAGTGATACCCCCTTGTAGTCCCGAACATATATTCAGACACATACATAATGTTACACGTGTGTCTTCTTCTTTTAATAACTATAATATGCTCCTGTCTTCTCTTGCTCCGAGGTCCAGGAAGTTGCCGATCTCAAAGGCTCAGAGGCAGCTTTCCAATCCAAGCTGCACACTCTGCGCCCATTGATCATGGAGGCACGGTTCAGGGTTTAGGGTTTATGGGATTGCGGTTCAGGGTTGTTTGGAGGATTTTGGGGTGGTTTAGGATTTTAGCAGGGTTTAGGATTGTTGCCAAGAGGCAACTGTAGAACGTGCATCGCTAAAGATACTTTGTGGGATGGGTTTGGCATTCTCCAGGACTTCTACGGCCCAAAGCCCTAAACTCAAGTCTTAACATGGGCATCTTCAGTGAGTTTAACTGCGTCCCTTTGCAGCTACCTTATACAAACAAAGGAAACCCTACGGGGTTCGTAGGTGCTTCCGATGTGACTACGAAGTACTTTCACAGCCGGGCTAAATGATTTTATATTGAATTGCTGTTTCTGCAATGTTCCTTAATCTATTTGCACAAGGACTCCCAAGACCCTACTCTACTTCCTCAGAAAGCCAAAGTTCAACATCCCTGACCCTAAAACACCCTACCTCAACATTAGAACCCCAATTTTTTGCAAAGCCCAAAGGCCTTCTGTAAACCCCAACCCTAAAAACGCACACAGCACCAGGCAAAAAAGCCTTGCTGGAGCTCTCACAACCCCTGATTCTCCAGAGAAGTCTCAGACCGCTGAGGACATCCCTGCAGTGGGTTTGACACCCAGCAAGAGAAGTCTCAATGTCAGATCCTCGAGGGGCCTCCTGTGCTATTTAAGGGCGCTCATGGTTCAGCGAGGGTTGTAATTGGGTCTATGGGTAGTTCTCTACATTAGGATCCCTTTTTAGGTCCCCAATTTAGTACGGCCCCCATATAAAAAGTACCCTAAAAGGAACCCTATTTTTGGAAACTACCATATGACAGCGTGGTCATATAACGACGGTGAGGGGCTCCCAAGATGACAATGGAAGTTTTCGGCTGAGGGTTCAGGATACAACGTTCGCGGGTTTACGCTTCAGAAAAGGTAGATTTCGAGGGTTTAGGGCTCAGGGTAGACGCTCATGGTCCAGCTTTGAGGAATCACGGAAGTTCCTTTGGGCCGGCCTAGAGTTTAAGAGCTTTGGGTTTAGGCTGGAATAAGGCTTCACAAGCCCGATACCCAAGTCGAAACTTGGAGTGGTCAACCCCCCAATGGTAAAAAGCAACAGTGTACCCCAATTAGGAGACCTAGCAAGGAGTAGTTGCCTACATACTAAGCGCGCCACTGGATCTGTCAAGTACTTGTCAGTGATGCTTTGCAATCGAGCAGCTGCCGAATCCAGAGCAGGCTGACAACCTGCGCACCCAAAAGGTGTAAAGCCCGCGTTGACGGCAGTACGACGTTCAGGGCACGGGTTTATTTTAGGCTTTGCATGTGCATGTGGAGAGCCAGGAAGGTTCATTCACGCTCCAAAGCTCCCTTAAAAACTACATTTCGTTCATTATTGGTATTTGCAAAAACAACCCTAAACCCTTACCTACTAGACCCCAAGAGTCTACAACCTAGATACCCCGGACCTTCGATCCATCATGCACTTCCCAAAAACACCTAAACACGTAGAGAGCCCAGTGGTTCAATAACCCTTAACTGAGACATGTGCCTCAAATCATAAATGGCTGTCAGGATATACAAGATACTCCTTCATTAAGACATATATACCTCAACGCATAGAGCTTTC